CCGTCCAGGAGCTCGGAGCCCACTCGGGCGGGGGGAGAGGGGCTGCGGCCGCAGGGATGGCACAGCCGGAGCCTCCCGCTCCCCGGCCTGGCTCAGAGCCGCTCCCGCATCGCAGCGCAGACACCTCAATTACCGAGGTGCCATGAGCGTCAGAACCACCAGCTCCAGCCTGGGGAGCTGCCGAGGAGAGGAAAAAAATCCCATTTAGAAAGCAGTTTGCCGGCGACAGCCACCACACACCTCTCTTTGCTCCTTTGCGCTTCAGCTCCGGGGGTTCAGAGCGCCCCAAAAGAGCCCCCCCCCCCCCCGCGCCCCCCGCCCGGCGTTCACCCCTGTCAATGTCACGGAGTACCCCACCCGCGGGCGAGGGGAAAAAAAGGCGTCTGGGAGCCAGAAAAGCTTTGACCTACAAAGTCTCCTCTCCCACGGCCGCCCGAGGTGCTCAAAACTCCCCGGGGCAGGGCCGTGGGAAAGGCTGCGCGGGGCTCTTACAGCCCACGGCCACGCGGGAGGGGCTGTGCGGGCCGATGGTGGGGGACAGGACGAGAGTTCGGCCCCCCCGGTCCGGCGGGGCTGCCCCCTCAGCCTCCCCCCGCGCAACGTGGACCCGCTCCCCCCGCCCCGCGTGGCGCCCACGGGGGGCCCGGCGCGGCCCCGCCGCGCGTGGGCGAGCGGAGAGGGGGAGAAGCAGCGCGTCCGCGGGGCCCACGCCGCCCGAATTCCGCCCCTACCACCCCGGCCGCCCCACGCGGGGGCCCCGCCCGCGGCCGGCACCGGGGCGGCGGCCTCACCTCGAACTGCCAGTGGGCCGCCTGCAGCAGCTGCTTGGCCTGGTCGGCGGCGCACCCGGCCGCCAGCACGAACTGGTTGATCATCACCTGGTGCTTGAGCTCGTCCATGGCCGCGGCCCCCGCGGCCCCCGCCGCCCTCAGGGCGCCGCCAGCACGGCGGGGCCGGCGGCTCACGCCAATGTTTACCGGGCACTGACTCACGGCGCCCGCCCCGGCCCCGCCCACGCCCGCCGGGGGGGCGGGGCCGCCGCGGCCAGGCCCGCGCGGCGCCGCCTGGGGCTTGCAGTCCGCGCCCCCCCTCCCGCCGCGCCGCCCTCCCCCCGCGCGGACCACAACTCCCGGCACGCCCCGCTCTGTTTGCCGAGCCGCCGGCGCGCGCTGAGTGACGCGCGGGGCCGGCCAATCGGCTCCCGCGGCCCCGCCGTACCTGACCGTATATGGTCAACAACGGCGCGGCGCCCAATGGCAGGGCGGCGGAGGCGGGGCCGCGCGCGAGGCGGGGGGCGGGGCCCGGCGGTCACGTGGGCGCGGGCGGTGTTTACAGTCGGGCCGCGTGCGGTTTCCTGTTGACGGGCGGGAGCGGCGGGGCCGGGACAGGCCGGGCCGGGCCCGGGAGGGGGGTCTCTGCTGCCCCTTCAGCCCCGCACCGCTAACGTGTCCCCCCCCGCGGTGCCCTGGCAGCCTGCGCCGCTCTGCTGGAAGCCCCTTGTTATCTCGCAGTTCCGGCACAGCCCCCGCCGGGGCCTGAGATGCTGGAGCAGCAGTGGCTCTTGGGCCCCGCGCCCTCCCGCAGCGCTAGTAAACCATGGCGGGGGGGGCGGTGCTCCAGACCCTGCTGGTCCCGTTTTTCCCTCAGCCGCAGCACGTCCGTGCACCCCCACTGACTGCTGAAGCGAGAGGCGGCGGCCGGGGAAGGTTCTGGAAGGTGCCGGGGGGCTCCCGGCCCCGTGAAAGGCTCCTCTGAGAGCGCGGCAGATGAAAGCTCGGGGCCCTGGAGGGCGGACAGTGATGTTGCTGGGGATAAGCAGGCACAGACACGCGGCTGTGGGGAGGAAAGCCAGGGAAGAGCAACGGAAAAGACTCAGGGAAGCGCTGGCTCCGCAAAGCTTGTTCAAGCCTCCAGCCCCCTCCGTGTTTCCCGAGGCCGTCTCCTGCGGTCTGGAGGGGTTTATCCTGACCACCAGGGGTTTGTTCACTGGCACCTCTGGCCCCAGACAGCGTTTAGGCGCAGCCACAGACGTTTCTGAGCCGTGAGGATTAAAGGGCTGAAACTCAGGCGGGTCACATCTTTGACTGGTGAGGTTTTGCAGCCTCCGCTGGCGAGACAGGAATTGCTCTGAAGCTGTTCACCATCTTCCACGTGTCCCTTAGTAACCAGAGCACCCCAGGGCTTCGAGAATTGGAGAATTCCGGGGCCGAGAGGGTTTTCCCCTCCTTCTATGTGTGTCACTGCTCAAATCCCAGCTCAGCTGTACAGTGGTGGCAGTGGGACACAGCCAGAGGTGACAGGTCATTTTTCCAAGGAGACAACCCCTGGAGAGAAGCAGCAAGGGGAGATCTGGAGCCAGCACGGTGTAAATGCATCTGGAAAAAACAAATCTCCTGAAGGATTATTTTAATCAGAAAGAACCAGAAACTTTAAGAAACCTTGCAGTTGGGTGTTTGAAGGGAGAAGGGCTGGGCCTGGCCCAGTGGGGCTTTCCAGGGAGGGTTGGAAGCCCTTTGGAGCAGGGGCAGTGTTTAGGGAGGCAAAGTTCATAGGCTCCCCACTCCTTCTGGTAAGGATGACCTGTGTGTAGCCTCCAGGGCTCCTGAGCCTTGTTGTGCCTGACAAACAAAGTGAGTGACAGCTCTCTGGGCAGGGGACAACTGATACAAAGCAATTTGCTTGGGTGGGTAATAAACCCCTGGGCAGCTGGACTTTGGATGAGCTGCTCCGGTGACTGGGAGGTTTGCTGGGAAACAGATTTCCCTGTTTACACAAGTGTGCTTGTAGCTGCCTCCCCAGCAGGGGTGTCCAAGGAGACTCCTAAAGGGCAGGTGGTGGTGGCTGGAGAAAGCTGTGGCAGTGAGAGGGTGGGCACCCCCCCAGCCCCTCTGCTTCCTCACCAGGCTCCATGGAGGGGTTTGAAGGATCCCTCCTCCATCCTGCTGTTTGGCTCCAGGCTCACCTTTTCCTGGATGGATTTTGCCAAGCTGGAGGGCAGTGCAGAAGCTGAGGTCTCCTCCCCACCCCTGGGGCTCTGCAGGGTCCCAGGGGGAAGGAGCCCTGGCCCAGTTTCGCCCTGGTCCTCCCCAGCTCTCACCCCACACCATGATGGCACCTGGAGTCTCAGGCTACCTTGTGGAAGTGTTTTCATCCCTCTGTCCTGGAGGGCCTCCCACCTTCATGGCCCTGCTCCCTCTCCATCCTCAGCACGGAGCAGGCAGAGCCTGGGGCTGGCAGCACCAAAACAGGGACAAATACAGTCTCGGGGACCCCAGAGTTGAAGGTGCAAAAAACCCACCGGGGTGGCAAAACCCACCAGGGTTTGTGGGGCTATTGCTGCTTCTTGCAGCTGCAACATCTCCCCGGTCTGGGTGGCTGCTGCTCCTGCAGCCCACAGGACCCACCCGTGGTGCTGCGGGACCCCAGGAGGGGTCTGGGAGGGCATCCCCGCTCCCGGCCCCAAGGCTCCCTCTCTCCTTCCCCCTGCTGCTGGCAGTGGCCCCTGCGAGGGACAGAGGAGGCAGTGGTGCAATATCCTGCCTTTGTGTGTGCCCGAGGGCCGGGCTGGGGCACAGGAGCTGCGGCTGCTGGAGGTGCTGCCCTTCAGCTCGGCTCGCTCCGGGATTTGGGGCGGAAGGGCTGAGCCCGGCCCTGGCACAGCGCTGCTATTGTCGTTGTCTGTCACACGCATCTCACGGAGCAGGGCCCCTCGGGGGATGTTCTCCAGCAAAAGCCCCTTCCCTCCCAGATGGCAACAATGCCCTCGGGGCCCTACGGCTTTCTCAGGAGCGGCCGGGAGGGACCTTCCCGCTGGAACAAAACCCTCCTGCCGCAGCTTCCCGGGCAGAGGCGACACTCCCACAGCCTGGTACTGGGGGATCTGGCTCTGCTCTTGGCATCCCTGCTTAACCCATGTGGCTCCTGGTGAGCAGCTGCAGAGAGAACAGGGCTGGGGGTTGGAACTAAGTGATCTTTGAGGTCCCTTCCAACCCAACACGTTCCAGGATTCTGTGATCCTGTCTCCCAAAAAGCTCAGGGAAGAGCTTTGGAGCAGTTCCCCTCCGGGTGCCTCATTGGGCAGGGAAGAGCAGGATGCTGGTGGTGCTCAGGATGTGGGAGGGAAGGGCGAAGGACCCTCTCATCTTCTGTCCCTGTGCAAATTCCCATCCTTGCCTTGCCTCATGGTGCAAACACGGCTCAGCTTTGCCCCCAAGCTTGTGGCCAGCTGGCTGCCAGCTGGCAAAGAGACCCCAGCATGGCACAGGGAGATGGAGATCCTTGCTGGGCTGGATCTGCTCCAGCACTGAGCCCCAAATCAGCTGCAGAGCGAGGCCTTGGGGGGTTATGCATTAACCCTTCTGGGCTGGGCTGCTGGTGGCACACAAGCTGTTTCTATCACCCCATTGCTGCCAGGGAGCTTGCTCCCATCCCTGAGGAGCATCACTGGTGGCTATGCAGGCACAGAGCAGCCAGACATGCTCCAGGCCAGCACACACAGGCTGAGTGTCACCGTGAGGGTCAGCAGACTCCACCCTTCACTCCATCCCTCCCCTCCCTCTCCGTGCAACTTCTGTCACGAGAAACCCTTGCAGGGAGAGGCTGGTTGAGCAAGAGGTGCTGTCGCTCCGGGTGCCAGCAGGATCCTGGGGGACACAGCAGGCAGCACTCTGGCACAATTACTGCCAAGGCTCCCCTGCGCCAGGTGCAGGGTACCCGGCTTTCATGGCTGGCCAGCAGGAGTGGTTGCTAATTCTATGCTTTTCCCTGTCCTTCCCAACCCTGCTGCACAACGGGATGCAGCTGAGTGAGGTCTGCCTCCTTAGCGCGCCCTCCCAGCGGGTCACCCGCTCTCCCCCCTCCTCGCCTCTCTTGGTACGTTCCGGTCCCCCCGCGGTTGGTCCGGCCGGCGCGGTGCCTGCCGGGAGCTGTAGTCCGGGCGCGGTTGGACTCGCGGTCCCGGCGTGCCCCGCGCCGCCGCCGTGGGTGCGGGTCCCGGTGCGGGTCCCGGTGCCGCCCCCGGTGCCGCCGCTCTGCGCCCCCCGCCATGGGCTCCCTGCTCAGCCGCCGCATCGCGGGCGTGGAGGACATCGACATCCAGGCCAACTCGGCCTATCGCTACCCGCCCAAGTCCGGTGAGGGCCGCGGGGGCTGGGGATGGGGGCCGGGCTGGGCCGGGCCCGGTGCCCCCCGGGCCGAGCGGGGCGGCCGCGGAAGGGGCTGCAGGAGCGGCTGTCACCGGCCGGGGGTGGCTCTGGCTCTGACTCTGGCTCTGCCTCCAGCTCCGGCTCTGTCTCTGCCCCGGGCCCTGCGGGCCCTCCTCGGCGGCGCGGCCGTGGATTGAGCTCGGTGGGCCGGGGCGATGGGACGGGCCCGCGTGTGCCCGGTGCGGGTCAGTGTGAGGGGCTCGAGGGGCCCACGGCCCCCACCCGCGGGCAGCAGTGCCCGTCCCTCGGCCCGTGCCCGCCCGGCGCAGCCCTGAGGTCCCCCGTGGTGCCGGGGGGTCACTGGGGGTGCACAGGGCTCTGCTCCCCACCCCGGGAATTCGCTGGGAATTCGCTGGGAATGCGGCTGGAGCGGGTTGTTGGTCGGTGGCGAGCGCGGCGGCTGCTGCTGGTGAAGGGGAAGCGGCGGCAGAGTTCTAGGGGGACACGGAACAAAACCGGGTCTGGTGCAATATAGGATGGCAGATTCCCGCATGACAACCCCCTTTAACTCCTTAGGATGGCAGCGGCTCTCACCCAGGAGAGACCTGGGATGACACGGCCTAGTGGGTGTCTGTTTTCCAAAGGGAATTGTCCTGAAAGCTTGGAGAGTCGTCAGTGCCCCTGCTGGGCCCGTGACCCACCTTGTCTGGGGGTGGTTTTTGAAACAGGCCAGATTTAATTTGTTTGAAGAATTTTACTTCTCGCAGAATGAGTCGACAGGGAAATCCGGGTGCTTTTTTCCCCTTTCAGTGTTTGTTTACTTATAAATTATTCTAAGTTTCTGTTCTGCTGGGGCTTTTCCAGGCAGGCTGGAGAATTTGCAGGGCAGCATTTTGGGTCCCCTCACTCACAGGCACAAAGACTTTTCGCTCAGAGGTTCGAGTCCTGCGTGTGTCCCGTGACTTGCTGGCTGTGACATCCTTGGGGCTGTGTGATGGAGACAGCCCTGCTTGCTCTGGAGGGGGTGCAGGGTCATCCCAGAGTCCTACCATTGTTATACCTTGTTCCGTGGCACCTTTGCCTGCAGCAGGAATGTTGGTGTGGAGAGGGTGGAAGGGGGGAAACCTACCCAGAAAAAAAAAATCCTACAACTATGTTGTATCTCTTAGAAAATACAACTTGGTTTTTTAGGGGGTTGGGAATTATTTTTTTTTTTTTTGGGCTGCAGGGAAAGGCAAATGTCGCTGTTTGGCTGCAGCAGGATCTGCATGTGACAGAATTTTAGATATGGAGTAGATTAGTTATAACCACCACATGCAATGGACATTAAACCGCTTCTTTCACATCATCTTCCTGTTGTTCCTGTGCTGTTGTATTTACCTAGACTAGAAGTTAAATGGTGTGTTGGGATGGTTCTAGGCAGAGGAGGAGGTTGTGAACGCTTCCCAGGTGGAGATTCAAAGCTGAGGACAGTGAGGGCTGTGAGGATGGCAGCTCCCCTCCCTTCCTCCGAAGGATACCGTCCCTTCTGGTCCTGACTGTGTTTGCCTTGCAGCTGGAAAGGTTGGTTATGGCTGGTACAAAGCCTGACAGTGAGGGTGACTGGGAGGGAGTGAGTGTGGGTTTGATTTGGGGAAGCAAGCTGGGAGTGGTACAAAACGTTCGCAGGCCAAATGGTTGCTAATTATTTCTAACTTGACACTGTCGCCGTGAGCCCTGAGTGGAAGAAGCCAGTTTTCCACTGGCTGTGTTGGGTGTGTGAGTGTGTGTGCTGGAGTGTGAGCCTGACAGACACTCCTGAGATTACCCCTGGAAAGCTGGAAGGTGTGGTGAGAGAGCATTCCCTGAGGTCACCCCTCCTCTGGAGCCCTGTGCATCACCGAGGGTTGTCCGTCCCCTTTTCCGCTCTGTCTCTCCAAGTCTCTGGCTTAAGCAGATCTCGACTTATTGCGAATATCTGATCAGCTGCTGGGTGCAAACACACCCCCTCACAAGAAGAACATGTTGTACAAGGAAATGAGCCCTAAACGCAGGTATTCTGGCTGTAACTCTGCCAACTTGCCCGGGGAAAGGAACACGGTGACTGTACCAGGTCGTCCCGAGGCGACGGCACCTTATTGAGTCACAGCTGGTGGCAAAGGCAGAGGTGAATATTCACTTCTCCTTTATTGACTTTTGATGTGGTTGTTGCCGGGTCAGTCATGTGCTCTGGGGAGGACTGAGCAGGTTGGTGTGGAATCCACTTTGGTCTGTAGGAGCCAGAGCCCCCAGTGAGGCATCCACAGGTGGTGTGACGGCTTTATTGCAGGTCGTACGCAGTTCTGTAGTCAAAAATCCTCTAAAAATGCCCTGCTTATTCCTCCAGGGCTCTGGGTGTGGATCATCAGCATCAGGATGGCTGAGGCTGCTTTTCTGAGCTCTCTTTTCTGGTACCTTTTAACCAGAATTTCTTGCTTTGTGGGGCCTGTGCTGGCATCGTGCCCGCCTGACCGTTGGGAAGAAGGGCTCACTTTGTACAGAAGAGTAAGTGCCTCCATGAAACGGGCAAAAAATGGGTAATTTTTTTGCCTGTTGAGCGAGGAACAGTCATGATCTCCATCGTGCTATGTGCTTGAGGCAGTGAAAGGATCCATATTTGTGCATGTGGTCTCACATGCCTTTGGAACCAGTGAGCAGTGTTTCCCACAGCTCCTTCAACAGCTCCACTCCTGTTCCTCTGAGCTCCTCTGCAGCGTGGAGCAGGACAGGGAGCACCTGCCCTTGGGATGCCTCTTCTCCTCTGGAGTAGGAAGAGAATTCCCTGGAGGGAAAAGAGGAGATTACTCCTCTCTGAAGCCGAGCTGGTGTGTTGTTTGGGAATGAGGCTTTAATCAAAGAAGGAGCATTTTTAAATAGGAGAGGAGTACCCAGAGTCCATCACCTCGTTCTGGGCTCATGAGCCGTGTGTGCTGTGACATTGTCACAACAGGAACACCTCCCCTTATTTCACACAGAGCTGTTCCTCACTCTCTCCCCAAAGCATGTGGAGTAGTTCTCTCCATTACTCCTGCTGTGTCCTGGAGCTGGTGACAGCCACCACCACCTGCCATTGACCAGGACATTCCCTCCTGCCTTCTCCCCAGCTCCTCGTGAGCACCGCACTGAGGCGCTCGGGGCCCCAGAACCAGTTGATTTTGCTACAGGTTTGGATGGTATTTATCTCAGCTCAGAGCCTCATTCCTGTTTGCTACGTGGTGGCTTTTGGTGGCCCAGCAGGGACGGGTGGTGGGGAGGGCAGGGTGGCCTCATCCAGGCAGGGTGTTGGTTCAGGCTGTGCCTGGGACTGTGCTGACAGCCCGTCCCTCGGCGTGCGGTGGAGAGTGTTTGGCTGAGTAATTAAAAGGAACTCAGTTTCTGTCACTTCACTGTTAATTGTGTTCATGGTGAGAAGCCTAAATGGACATTAATTACTTTCTCTTAATGAACAATCAGCCCATGTTTTGCTGAGGTTACAGTTGTGCTGTCAACTCTGTGCTCCTGGTCCTTGTAGGGTGTTATGTCACTCGTGCATCACGTCCACGTGTTGGGGTTGCATGAACATGGGATTGGGATGCTGGGTTAGGGAGAGGTAATTGTGACTGGAGCGGTCTGGTGCTCAATGCTGGTGCCTTTATGATAATAAAACCTCACTACTATGTTATAATAAATATTAACTATTTTGGTGTCATTTGATGGGCACTCAGGAGGAGCCTTGGGTTCCAGTTTGGTTTTGCATGGGACCAACTAATGAGTCAGACTTGTCCATTCTGGGTGTCCCAGTGCTGTTTTTTTCCAGCCACTGTAAAGTTTTCCACCATAATTTCTCTTAAAACCGCTGCTTGGACCTCAGCAGTGTCACCCATTCGTGTTCTCTTTTATGTAATGCTCCCTTGTGTTCTGTCCTGATTTACTCTGGGGAGCTAAAGCCACAGTGATTCTTTGCTCTGGCATTTTTATCCCATTCCCTCCCTGTTTATTTATGTATGATTCTTTTCCTGGTAAGTGTGTCGCTGCATTTTCCTGGAGGATTTCTGTTTCTAGCAATTCTGGGGAGGGTTAATCCAAGGATTTTTTGCTTTTCCTTTTTTTTTCCCTACCAAAGAGGATGGCACTTTGCATCCCCTCTTCTGCCCGTAGCTCCAGAGCTCTGTGTAAAGCTGACCTTGCAACACCTGCCTAAGGTAGGTCAAGGTGGTTTTATAGGCTGGGGGGACATGTGGGAACAGGGTTCAAGAGGTGTGGCAGCCTGGCTAAAAATCCTAAACTTTCTTTGTAATGGGTTTGGAAATGGAACCTAGAGGTGGAGCTGCAGCAGGATTCTGATGCATAGAAAATACATACAAGTGTGTCTTTTTACAGACACTCAAAATCCTAAATGTGTGGATGTCTTGGTGACTGGAAAAGAGGATTCCTCTTATTTTCTGTCTCAAAATTTCCTTGTCCTTTTAGTCCTTGGTGTGGTATTCACAGAAATGCTTCCTTAAAGCGTTTTGTCTTCAACTTGGGCAAACCCTGAGTTCCTTGTGACAGTGGTTGAGAGGATTAACTTTGGACTCACCTCGAGAGCTCCGAACCTCACGTATTGTTGTAGCAACTGGTTTCTGAAAGCTTGCAGCGGAATATCTTTTTTTAGCTGCTGAAAGCTGCGTTGTAAATTCGTGGAGACAGTTTGCTGCCATTCTGCTCCGTGAGTTTGGCCGTGGAGACCTCGAGCGCGTGGCGGGTTTTGTGTTGTACAGCAGCCCTGGCAGAGCCCGCGGGTTGTTCTGCTCACCGGGAGCTCCTCAGAGTGATTTTTCCCCCTGCTCTTTGTGGCTGGCACTGACTGCATCTCTTGTTTGCTTTTGAGGGAAGTGCCTCTGGGGGGGGAAAAAAGCCCTCCTTCACGTTGAAGGAGGTGACTTTAGAAGATGAAAAGAGGTTCAGTCTGAAGGTGGGACTGCAGCTGTGGTTTCCAGTTGCTGTGTTGGAGAGTGCATTTGTGAGAAATCCTAACAATTCGTTAGAGATCCCGAAAGTAGTTCTTAGTGGAACAATGGCAGGGTGGCAGGTGACTTAAACATGCTAGTTTTGTGTCTGGGTGTTGTTCCAGTTATACAGGAGAGACCTTTCCATGCCAAGGTGCTGGAGAGGCTGCCTGGTGATACTCTGGAACCATATCCTGGGTTCATCCCTCAGCGTGGGCAGCAGAGGAGGGTGAGATTCTGCCCCTCTGCCCTGCTCAGGTGAGACCCCACCTGCAGTGCTGCTCCAGCTCTGGGGTCCCAGCACAGGAAGGACATGGAGCTGTTGGAGAGAGTCCAGAGGAGGCACCGAGATGATCAGGGGGATGGAGCAGCTCTGCTGGAAGGAAAGGCTGAGAGAGTTGGGATTGTTCAGCCTGGAGAAGAGAAGGCTCTGGGGTGACCTCATTGAGGCCTTCCAGGACCTGAAGGGAGCCTGTGGGAAAGATGGAGAGGAACCTTTTGCAAGAGCCTGGAGTGACAGGACAAGGGGAAATGGCTTCACACTGACAGGGAGTTATTACTCTCAGCAACCTGGGGTATTGGAAGGTGTCCCTGCCCATAGCAGGGAGTGGAACAAGATGAGCTTTAAGGTCCCTTCTAACCCAGGCCATTCTGTGTTTCTGTCTCATTCACTGGATATGAGGCAGTTCTCCAAGTCTGATCCCAGATAACCAGCTGCTGTGCTACTGAGACATCCTGCACAAGCATTGTCCTCACAGTTAATCAAATAAAATGTTCCAAAACATAATGCTACTTGACCCACATAAAATGTGAAATCTCTTCCTAACCCCTAGTGTTCCTCGTGCTCTTCTGAGCCGGTGTGAGCATAAACCACTGCATGCATCTGGGCTGGAGAGGCTGTGCCAGCCTGGCTGTGCTTGGAGATTATATGCAGATCAGCTTTTTAAATTTGTTGCTTCTGGGAGGGGTGGGAAAAGGTTCCCTGTCATTTGAAACATCTGCATTGGTGTTCAAGGAATGACTGGAAGTGGCATTGAGTGCTCTGGTCTGGTTGATGAGGTGGCAGTCGGTCCTTAGACGTCTTTTCCAAGCTCAGTGGTTCTGTGATTTTGTTATTCTGACTCTTCAGGTCTGATTCTGAGTAGGTTGTGGACCTGTGCTGAAGGTGATTGTTGTACTTGGAAAGAAGGACGTGTTTCAGCACTACAAACATCTGGATGCTTGTAAGCTGAGCTCAGCAAAGCTGAGCGCTGCTGTCGTCACTAAGGCCCTGCCATCTGTGCCGAGTAAGAAGAGCCTTTTCTTGAAGCATAAAGGAAAAAAGCCTTAATGGAAAAAACAGAGCCATTCATGGAAGGCCTTCCATTTCAGAGTAATCATGCTTGCTCCTGCCTAGAGGGACTGCAGATCCCCCCAGAGTGCCTCCGCAGCCACTCAGATGATTAGTTACTGCTTCTGGAATGGCTCATTTGGGCACCAATTTATGCTGTCTGTGCATTGCACCCAGGGAAGTGAATGTACATGTGGCTCAGTTCTCTTATCCCCCACTCTGAAACTTGAAGGGAAGTGACTTGAATGCAGGCTTTTATTTTAGTTCTCTCCTGGTACTTATGTCCCTGAAATTGTAACTCTGTGAAGTTCATGTTTGAGAGTGCTTTCCTGGAGCCCTTCTAGGAGGAAGCTGCTTTTGTGGTGCTCTCGTGCACCTGAATTGATTCTGTTGACTTTGGAGTTAATCCAGTGCTCTGGAATCCCAGTGACCTTGCACACACTTGTCTCCTGAAATTTGAACCTTAGTGCATCACCTTAAAGATGAATGACACGAATCTGTGGTGAAGCTTTCAGAGCTGAAGTTCCCTTTAGTCAGTCCCTGTGTGTCTCTTGGAGAAATTCATGTTTCTGCATTTAGAGCTGACTGTGTTATTAATTAAATTCAGCGTCGAGATGTAAAGGTTTTGTGTGGTTCTTGCCTGGGATATGGCAGTGGAAGAGGGGAGGGAAGGAGCCCCTTTGGCTGTGCCAGGCTTTGCAGTGGGAAGAACCCTCATCCTTCTCTGAGGAGGTTGATGGTGTTTGTGGGACTGGGCTTTACTCTGTAAAGTGGAGAAAACAGGAAGAATTCATCAGAATGGAGCAGTATTGGAACGAGCTGACTCTCACTGCTCCCTTCCATTCTCTGGAAAACAAGTTAAAATGGAATCATCTCCACTGTAATGATTTATTCCAGGTTTTTGGTTTGTTTTGTTTATTCCCCTGCTCCTGCTGTTGGCAGTGGCCCTCAGTAGTACAGGGAAAGACTGAATTAGCGAGTATTTTCTGTGTCTTGTGCTCCTTTATACTTGTGAATTCAAAACTGCACAGACTTATCTGGGAAGCACCACTCATTTTAAGTTTTTGGGTTTGTTTTTTTTGTTGTTGTTGTTGTTTGTTTGTTGTTGTTGTTTAATTCCCTTGTGTTTGTTTTGTTTGGTTTTTTTTTTTAGGAAACTACTTTGCAAGTCACTTCTTTATGGGAGGGGAGAAGTTTGACACCCCTCACCCCGAGGGCTACCTTTTTGGGGAGAACATGGATCTGAACTTCCTCGGGAATAGACCTGTTCAGGCAAGTCCCTGTGTTCTATTTTGCTCTTCTGCTTCCTGCCTGTTTTGGAAAGCATCGTGTGGGGCTTGTAGAGGAGGATGGCACAGACCTAAAGGGGGTCCTCGCTGCTTGGGGAGTGTCATTCCAGTCTGTTCAGATCCAAGCTGAGTTTTCCTAAGCAGTATTCACCTTCTAGGCTTGTTTTCACTTAGGACAGAAGGAATTAGTAAGTGAGGGAAGAAGGACGGGGACTCAGGAGCACAGAACCTGGGACTAATTCTACCTGCCTGCCTGGGCAAGTGTAAAACATGCTGTAGGGAAGGCTGGGAAGCAGATCCACTCTCAGAGCCCCAACTTCCCAAAGCTCCTGGGCATGCTGGATGGCTTGCAGCCAGTGTTCAACATGTGCTGTTCTCTTTCTAAATGAGTGGCCTGACTGGGCACAGGGCAGGGTTAAGATAAATCTTGGTATTTGGTGGGTTTTAGTTTGCTTTGTAACCTCAGTGGGCTGCTCAGAAAAGTCTCTCCTTCTCTCCTTTAGTTTACCCAGATGGAACACAGAGGTATTTCTGTGTCCACAGGTGTCTGTGAGACTGTGGAAAGCTGCTTGCTCAAGTGCTTGTTCTTGAACAAGGAATAGCACCATTGTGAGGGACAGATAGGAATTTCATGGGAGTGTTATGTTGTGGATTTCTCTTGCCTCTCAGAACTGCTTAAAAAGAACCAGAAGGTAACAGAGTAGGAGCAGTTTGGAGCTCTTTGCAGAGTGCTGGAGAGGACAAGGGAAAAGAGCTGTTTGCTTTGCCAGATGTTCTCCCAGTTGTTTCTGCAACTTCTAAAGATGGAAAGGAAAAATGGAAGTTGTGGTTCTCCTCAGAAAAAGCCGTGACCATTGTTTAATTTATGTCTGTAGTGCTCGGAGGCAGCTTGGGATTACCCTGGTTTTACAGGTGGGGGAAACTGAGGCAGGATGAGTTAGTGTTTGAACTGGAACAGGGACAAGAACATTCTACTTTCTGAGTTCCCCCTCGGGCTGTGCCATTGGTCTTCTCAGCACCACAGGCAGTTAACAGGACTCTGCAGGGCAGGACAGGGAAGAACCTGGAAAAGTCCTTGTTCAAGCAGAAAGTATAGGTGGGCAGGAGAATTAGGAAGGAGGGAAATGGAAGCTGGAAATTGTTTTGGATGTATTAGTGCCATGCAGGCTTGGGGTGATCACACATCCCCTGTGCACTGCCTGTGGCTGCAGGGACTGACCCTGCAGGGTTAAATCACCTGCATGTCTCAGCCTGGATTTCCTTGCTGACATCCCAGCACTGAATTTCATCATTTCTCCAGAGGGGAGTGCGTGAGATGCCATTAACACCGTGGGATGTTTGCCAAGTAGGTTTAAGAGGAGCCTGTTGTGGAATATGGTCTGCCTATGTTAAGTTGAAGCCCTTTGGCAGCTCTGATTAATCTTCAAGAAAAAAAAAACAAAACAACAAAAAACACTTGAACACAGAGCAGCAAAACTGTTTTCTGGATGTGGGCCCAGTTCTTGCTTTGGAGTAAGGGAGGCCTTGCCTCCTCCTTCCTAAAGAAACGGGTGTTGGTGGTCCCTGGGCCCCAGCAGGCAGGTGTGGAGCTGTACAGGTTGTGATCACCACAACAAGCAGTTCCTTTGCATTTCCCACCAGAGATTCTGTGCCCAGTAGGGAGAATTACAGCCTGAAGCATTAATGTCCCTATTTAAAGGACAATCTGGGAGAGAAGGTTTCTTGACTGCAGAAGTGGAAAGAGGCCCCCTATCCCTGTCTCTTTTCTTTTCCAGAACATTTGCCCCATTGTTTCAGAATAAAAAGAGTTTCCCCCAGTAATCCAGGGCTTCTCCATGCTGATTAGCAGTCAGATCACTGTTTGCATGCTGTAACACACATGAAAGAGCTGCATTTCTTCTGCTCAAGCTGCAGGTGGTTTCTTTAGTGGAAACAAAAGCTTGTGAGGGCAGCGCTTTCCTGACTGGGAATTCAGAGTACAGAACAAGAGCTTGTGAAAATGCTCCTTCTTAAAATGTGTACTCCCCATTGCCGGGCCAGGGCAGGATTTTCATCCTGAAAAATGCTTGATTTATCTGTGGGTTAATGTACCTGGATGCCAGGTACCCACTAAAGCCACTCTCTCACTCTCCCCTCTGTAACTGGACAGAGGAGAGAGGAAAAAAGCTTCTGGAAGCTTCTAAGAGAAGCCACCCCTGTAGCCCCCCTCCCACTACCAAAACCCAGCCACATAAACCCACTACAACCTGTAAATAGAATTTGCTATTGCTGTTCCTTCTGCTGTACCGAGTACCCTGAAAGCTGGATGCTTCTTGATTTGGGTAAATTGCATGCCAGGCGACATGCTGCTACCTTTTTATAGTATAATAACAGGAGAAATTTTTGCCCTTTTGTTGCAGTTTCCCTACGTAACTCCAGCTCCACACGAGCCAGTGAAGACGCTGAGGAGTTTGGTGAATATCCGCAAAGACTCTCTCCGGCTTGTGAGGTACCCACACTGCCTGGGCCTTTCATTTTATTCATCCCACAGCCAAAATGTATTGATGAGGTTTTGGAGAACAGCTGATTTCCAGGTCCTTGTTGCTCGATATGTCCAGAGGTTCCTGCATTCCTTTGTGATCGGAGCTCTCAAGTGGTTCATATGCTCCTTATCCAAGCAATCTGTGTTTCCAAACAAGGCCAGTTTCAGCAGGACAGACTGGAGTGGTAAACAAAGCCCTGAAATCAGAACAGAAGATATTAGTCAGGTCAGTAAACCCTACAGACAGATTCCTTCCTGCATTCCTGTGCAAGAAGAAGACAGAAAGGAGCTGATTCTGGAGCGAGCCACAGACCAGGAAGATTGGTCTAGAGTGAAACTTCCTCAGGTTTCTCCTGCTGCCAGGATAAAGGTGTTTAGGTGGCTTGTGTCCCATGCACAGGGCAAGGAGGTGTGGATAAGTCATGGAGCTCTGTTACCTCTCCCTGCTCCACACCGAGATCCAAAGCAGCGTAGCCGGATTAAACGCTGGCTCGTGCTGGGATCTGCAGCTGCCCCCTTTCCAACAGATGGCTGAGGTGCAGGGCCCAGCATACAGTGCTTTGTTTGGGTCTGAGCACTGGGCACGTGGCCAGGCAGAGCATTTCCCAACGCTCCTGGAGTCGCACTGGGTTGTGTGTTCCAGGCTCTGGCAGGGCTCCAGCTGCAGCTCCCGGCCAAGGTGGCTCTGGGAGCGTGGATGGAACGTGAGCAGTTTGAGTCATAACCACACAAACCCCTCAGCTTGGTTTGATGTGAAAACTGAAGGTTGGTTTTGTTTTGTTTTGGTTTCTTTCTTTTTAATGAGCAAAACCTGTGGTTCCAAAACTTATTGAACAGGAAAAGAGGGAAGATCTTCCAAAAAAGTCACCATTGATAAAAGGCTCTGAATGTTGTCTGGTTTTTCAGCTGAGGGGTGAGGGGTACTTCTCTAGGAAAAAGTTGCTTTCCTCACATGCTTGCAATGGAAAGGGTATTTGGTTCTCCCTGCAGGCATCCACATTAGCAGTGTGACATCTCTCAGAAGCCAAATGGGAAGTGGCTTTTTCCCTGGGAGTGGCCTTGCTGTGAAAGGAGCAGTTGTTGAGGTTTATTACACGTAGTCCTGCCATTCTGCTTTCTGTGCTCGCATGTCCCATTCTCCCAAGCAGCTCTCTGGACTATTTGGAATGTAATGAACATGCACCTTGACAGTGTCCAGGTTTGCATCCATCTGATTCCTGGCACTGTCAGTTCATTTTCTGCCTCATGAGCTCTCACAGGTCCTTGTGCTGCTGCTGCTCTGTCGGTGCTGACGCTGACACTGCCAGCATGACTTGATTTAATTTTGCACTGATGCAGACCCAAAATGGGATTTTAATTGCCAGTCCCCAAGGGTACATTCTGTCTTGTGCTTTTCTCGTGTTCTGGACTAGAGGCATTTCCTTCCCCTCTCTCTGCACGTAAGGACACTTTGTGCCCTCTCCAGCTTGGCTTCTTCACAGCCAGTGGTTGAGGTTTGCACATTCTTTCCTGAACTATTTAATTTACCACATCCTCCACCCAATAAAATGATACTGGGCTGGATGTCCAGGTGTGAGGTGGGTTCTGATGGTAAAGCCCTCACAAGTTTATGTTTTTTGGTAGAATCTCAGCATGGTTTGGGTTGAAAAGGACCTTAAAGATCATCTTGTTCCAACCCCCTGTCATGGGCCCCTTCCACCAGCCCAGGTTGCTCCAAGCCCCGTCCAACCTGGCCTTGGGCACTTCCAGGGGCTGGGGCAGCCACAGCTTCTCTGGGCAACCTGTGCCAGAGCCTGCCCACCCTCACAGGGAAGAATTTTTTCCTGATATATAATCTGAACCTATTCTCTGTCAGTTTGAAGCCATTCCCCTTTGTCCTGTCCCTCCAGGCCCTTGTCCACAGTCCCTCTCCAGTTCTTCTGGAGCCCCTTTAGGCACTGGAAGGGGCTCTCAGGTCTCCCTGGAGCCTTCTCTCCTCCGGGTTGAACAACCCCAACTCTCTTGGCCTGTCCTCACAGGAGAGGTGCCATGGAGGGGTATGGGGAAATGTCCACTCTGAGCTTCCTGACAAGCTCTGACCAGACAAAATCCCAAGCTTTGCCAAATCCTGAGTATTTACAGCAGCTGTGGAGAGCAACAATAAACCTGTGGGTATTGGTGTTGAAGTTCTGAGTCTTTGACATCTCATGTGTTTTCTATCTTTGGAGAAGGGTAGCGGGAATTTTGCTGTTAAGCATTAACAGGGAAAGACTTCCTTGTGTCTGTCTTGTGTCCCATGTTTGGCCTTGGATCAGAAGCTTTATTTCAGAGCTGCAGTACCTGAGGGACTGGTACTGGCTGTTCACTCTTACCCTGGAAGCACTTCCAGTTGCAGGAGGAAGATCAACTCATTGAACAGTGTGTTTTGTGGAAAAGTCGCACTGTGGGACAACCTCTCTGCTTCAGTGTGGGCTCTGGGATTTGTATCTCATCAAGGAACAAAAGTGTTGAAGGAACCAGCAGCTGTAGTGGTTTGGGAATGTGTCTGAAGCAGCAGGAATATCATGGAGAATAGGGAAACCACTGAGTGTGGCCTGAGAGGTGGATGAGGGGCCAAGGGGAGACAGGTGAGTTGCTGTGAGAAAGGAAATCCCTTCTCTTCCCTCTCCAGCAGAGCAGAGATAACCTTGATCCTTGGAGCTGTCCATGCCATGGTGGAGGTGGTGAGGGGCTGGGACTGCCTGCTCTGCAGCCCTGGAGGGTGTTGAACTGGGCAGATCTCTGCAGAACCCCCAAATATTAAAGCCTCTGTTTGATGATGATCTCCCCCATGCAAGTCAGTGCTGTAGGGGTGTGACTAGTTCTTCCTTCATTTAACCCTGCTCTAACCCTGGCTGATGCAGATCTCACAGTACTAAGTCAGGTAATACTTAATATTTTTCCTGCATGTCTACTGAGTTGTTGGCCAAACCTTTTAATCTCCTCGAAGGATGGAATTGTGTTCGACTCAACCTAGTTCTAAAAAATTGTCGCGGCTGCTGTTAATTACATGTTTATATTTTAATTCTTTAACAGACAAACAAAAAGTTCCAGCATTCCCATTGTTTTATCCAGGAGTGATGTCAGACCAGGCGGCCTCGGCTCCCTTGGTCATCCTGCTTTTGCCTTTTCCATCAAAACGTTGGATCAGCTCTCTGTTCCCAAAGGGGGTCAGTCTCTTTGCTCTGTACACGTGGCTGTGAAGGCTCTGTGATGCACCTCTGTGCATGACCCCAAGGCACACCCAGCCAAGTCACTGGTTCCTAACTGTGCATGCATCTGTGACCACCTCACATCAGCACTGTCTGTAGGGCTTGGCTCAATGTCCACTGTAATCTTCAAGTGCAGGTGGAGACAGAAGAGCTCTTGAAGCACCTGAACCACTCCTGAGCCACCCCCTTGCCTGCCACGTCCCTTGCAAAGAAAGAAGGAATGCAGAATGTGTGATTTTTGTCATGTTACTCCCCTGATGTTACATCCCACCATTCCTGCACCTTGAGGTGGGACCTGAGATGTTTCTGCCTCTCCAAGAATGCACCAGAGTAGCCTTAGCTTGTTCCTTGAGCCAGTTACCAGCTGGCAGAGCAGCCTGTGCAGTGATTTCTCACCTGAACCTCTTGTTCTGTGGTGGGTCATAAAATCCCAGCATGGTTTGGGTTGGGAAGGACCTTAAAGCTCATCCCCTGCCATGGGCAGGGACACCTTCCACCAGCCCAGATTGCTCCAAGCCCCATCTAACCTGGCCTTGGACACTTCCAGGGAATGAGGCATCACAGCTTCTCTGGGCAACCTGTGCCAGGGCCTCCCCACCCTCACAGGGAAGCATTTTTCCCTAATATCCCATCTAATCCTATTCTCTGTCAATGTGAAGCCATTCCCCCTTGTCCTGTCATTACAGGCTCTCGTAAATAGTCTCTCTCCATCTTTTCTGTGGGCTCCCTTCAGGTCCTGGAAGGCTGAGAATGATTTTCTTGCCCTCCAGCACCAGGATGTTGGATGGGAAGACACAAGCACAGCCTTGCTGTGACTGTCACCATTTAGGGACGTGTGCCTTGTCCCCTGTTCCCCTGATGCTGTTCCAGGCAGACAGGACTCGGACTCTCCGACATTCCCTGTATCCTCCAGGAACCTTCTCTGCAGGCACTGCAGTTGGTGGTGGCCCCTCAGTGGTTTCCCAGGGCAACAGATCTGTTCCAGTCTGGGTTTAACCCCTTTTCTTCTCGGAAGGATGGAAGCACATTCTGAGTGCCTGCAGGGAGGTGCAGAGTTGGGATCAGGAGGGTGATCTGGGATGCTTTTTGTGACTTCCTGAGAAGATGAAACAGGCAGTGGTTGTACTAATGACATGTTGCTTCTGTGTGAGCTGCCCCCCACCCCAGGTCTCCCACCTTGTTACCTGGGGCTGTTACAGGTGCCTTGGTCTGTGTTGTCCATCTGTAGCTCACACCTGTGCTGGGCATCTCTATGTTAAGGCTCCCTGTACACCAGGTGGGTCTGTGAAGCACTTTCATCAGTGCTTTCCTGCAAGGGTACTGGTTCTCCCTCCCTGCTGCTTCTGGAAGAAGTGGCAAGTCTGTCAAAGCCTGGATCCTTCTCTGCCAACCTCAGATCAAGAGAGAGCAGCAAGAGATAACTCACAGAAACTTGTGCTGCTTTCTTGACACATAAAACGTGTGAGTGGATTGTTGCCATCTGTGTTCTTGGATCAGTCCAGCACAAAATGTTGCTGCTCCCCTGAGTGTTTTCCAGGCAGACCTTCCCTGCTGCCCAGACTGTTTCTTCTTTACAGCCTTCAAGTGCCATGATTTTATTCTTTGGATGCAACCAGCTCGTGTGAAAATACCATTTTGCTCTGTGCTGTGTGTTTTGTCCAGGCTGCTGCAGGTGTTCAGACTCTCAATTTTGGGGATATGTCTTTTTTATAGTGGCATGTTGGGTGTATTTAGCTTGATTTGCTGTTTTGACCTAGGTGAACCCCGGGCTAAAGTCTTGTTTGGAGCTCTCCAAGCCCTTCAGACAAGAATGCTGTGTGAGCTATAGTGGTTCACTGGGGTTACATTAGTGCAAGTGCATGCGTTGGGCATTTGATTATATCGCTCTTAAATTTCATTTTGCACCTTCTGTATTAAATTGCTGAAGCTGAGCATTTCACTCTTGTTCGGCGTGGTGTTAAGTAAAATTCATGCTGGAACCCTCTTAATTAGGCAGAATTATTATATGTCAGTGAACTCGGTAAATAAGGATTCCCTTGACAATTTTTAGATTGAATTATGGAGGCATGCCTGGCACATTTCTGAGTGTTTCTGACAGTACAGCCTATTCATCCAGGCTCTTTAATGAGGGGAGAGTCTGACTGACACTGTGAAGTCAGAGGCAGTGTCAAGCCTTTCCTGAATAGTTCAGCTGCTTGGCTTTGACCCAGGAAACGTGGCAATTAAGGTAACACTAATAAACAAGTGGGGCTGGAGCTGGGTGACAAATTGAGTGCTGTTACACCTCTCAAAGTCAAACCTGCTGCCTCCACCCTTCCCACACAGTGCCTGTGGTCCTGGGCTTACACTGGCATTTGAACTGATGTGTAAGGATGTGGTGCTGCCCTGCCAGTGATTCACATCCATTTGTCTGTTGCTCTGCTTTTCGAGGCAGGGAGATCTTGGTCTTTTCAGCTGGAGAAGAGGAGGCCGAGGTCAGACCTCGCTGGGGTCTGCAGCTCCTCCCGAGGGGCAGCTCCAATCTCTGCTCTGTGTGAGCAGAAATAGGACCCGAGGGAACGGCTGGAGCTGTGCCAGGGGAGGTTTAGGCTGGGTCTCAGGACAAGGTCCTTCCCCCAGAGGGTGGTTGGCACTGAACAGGCTCCCCAGGGCAGTGGGCACAGCCCCAAGGCTGCCAGAGCTCCAGGATTGTTTGGACAACGCTCTCAGGGACAGGGTGGGATTGTTGGGGTGTCCTGGGCAGGGCCAGGAGTTGGACTCGGTGATCCTTGTGGGTCCCTTCCAACTCAGGTTCATTCTATCATTCTGTGATCTTCTCATGGAGTGTTGTGTTGGCTGTTTGTTCCAGGATCTCTGATGTCCCTGGCTATTCCTGGCACACTGTGGCTCCCCACTGGGCTGTGGCTGTAGCTCACTGCCCTGGACCCTGCTTCAAACCTTCTTCACCAGCTTTGTGACCTGCCTTTTGCTGCAGCAGGGAGGAGTAACCCTGGGCAGTGGTGATCACATCCAGTTTGCAGTAGCCCACAGCCAAGTCATGGCTCATTTTGATGTTAATTGAAATAACTTCTAAACTCATTGTTGTATTGGTTGTTGTGTGTCTGCTGTGCACTTGGATGTGTTAATTTTTGTTCAGACAGTAAATACGTGCAAGCTCCGGCCCTTCACAGCATCAGAGCTTTAGGTGGTCATTTGTACATTTAAAGGTGTTTAAAATTCCTGTATTCAGATGCTTTCCAGTCTGAATATCATCCTCTGTGTGACACTGCAGGTCCCTTTTGTTGAGCTTCAGGAGTTCTTTGTGTTGCACAAACCTTGTTTTTTTGTCTGTCAGGCACAGTTTCATTTGCAGTGTTAAAAGAATTAGGTTTTAGGTCTCTCATGCCCATGCAGGACTTCTTTAGCCCAAATATTGAACCTAATATGAAGACTTAAATGGGAGGAGAACGTTTCTTCTCCTCAGGGTTTGACATTCCAGGGTTCCCTTTCTTGTCTCATTCTGTGTCCTGGCCCTGTAAGGCTGGGTGAGATCCCTCAACACCATTGTTACACTTGAATTACTGCAGTGAAATCTTGGAAGAACCTTCCTCAGGGGAAGGAATGGATCTCCTGGGAAGCCTGAAGTGGAAGCCCACAGTGCCTTGCCTGCCCCAAACACCTAGTCAGGAGTACTCTTGTCCTGACCTCCAGAGTGATCTTGGTGATATCTCATAAATGTTTATTCTAATCCTCTGGCCCTGTCTTTCAGGTATAAAGATGATGTTGACAGTCCTATGGAGGAGAATGGGAAGCAGAAGGTGCTGTACAGCCTGGAGTTCACCTTCGACGCAGATGCCCGTGTTGCCATCACAATCTACTGCCAGGCCACGGAGGAGTTTGTTGGGGGCATGGCAGTGTAAGTCTTGGGCTTGTGGGCGTGTGGAGGGGCACAGGAGCTCTGGTGAATGAACTGTCAGACATCAGTCACCCCTGAGGCTGTGCTGCCACGGATGGTGGGGAGGGAAATCTCCTCCTTTTCTGTGTGGTTTTATGTATTCTGATAACTTTGAATATTACTTTCACTTCCCTCACATAGACAATACCTTGTCTCGTTCCCTTTTTGATTTGGTTTTAGGGTGTAGGGAAATTATTCTGTGTGCAGCAAAGGAGGAGAACTCAATAACTGTGTGTTCTGTCAGCAAGATGTTCTATGAAATTAGAAAAACCCATCCCTTCCCTTCAAGTACCACCTGTTTTTTCCCCAGGTCACCCAATTCACTGCATTTCTGCATGTGGGCCACCAAAGCAAAGTTCAGTCTGACATTTATCGAGTGAGTCTGTAGAACTGAAGCCCTCCCAAAGTCCCTTTTGGGATAAATGGCCACCTCAACACAGGCTGTTGGGAGATGGGAGAGGATTTACTCCCTGAAACCCTGTGTTTCCTGCCAAGTACCCCTTGGGTTAGCTGTGAAAAGAACAGTCAAAATGTCGTCTGTGGGGTCTTTCTCGTATCCTGGTAGTACCTCCCTACAGATTTTAAACCCTTTTTATCTAAACCAGCACGTTTAGATCATTCCAGTCAACACCATATCCCATGAAAAATTTCCTCTCTCTGTTAAGAGCAAAGGTGGCTGGATGTGCTCTGCCTGGTCTGAGTTGGGTACACGTGAGCTGCTGGTATGGAATGGCAGACTTCCAGTGGCCATGGGACAAGGAATTCCATTTGCTCCATGGGCAAAGGAAGGTTCAGGCTGCAGAAGCTCTTGGCTTCCTCTGGTAGAGGCTTTTGGCTGAGCAGTGGCTCTTGGATGTAGTGCTGATGGCTTCTGCAGTGATGCTCTGGAGCTGGGGCTGAACTTATCCTCGACTGAAGGGACCTGCAGAGGTTCCAGCAGGGAGAAATAGGTATGACAGGCCATAAAATGGCTTCTGTGTTTTATGCACAGTATAAATATCCCACTAAAGTTCAGTGAGTAGTGTATTTTTAGAAACAAGACAAGCTCAATTCTCCAATTCGGATATGCATTCCTTCAAACTGGAGGATGTCCTGATCCAGAATGTTCCCTTCCTTTCTTCTGTTGAAGCCTATGGCTACCTCTGCTTTGGGGAGGTAATAAATGAGCTCCTTTTAAAGTGCTTGGAAAATCTCTCTTGACAAACTCTGAAAACACTTTCTGTTTAGATCCAGCTTTTTTCCTGAGCAGAGCTGAATGCAGCAGGATGCCTTAGAAATCCTGATAAAGTTTCCATGTTCTGTCTCTTAGGTCCTTAGGTTTCCTGTGAATTTAGTGCTAGTGAAGGTGTTGGAATGGCAGCCTTGGAGATTGAAGTCCTCTTTTCCTAACACAGGTACAATGTGGAGAGGTGGCCAGTGTCCCTTGTGCTGCCCTGCAGTGCTCCCTGGTTTTTGACCTTAGAGGGAAACAATCCATGGGCTAATGGGGAGAACTGAGGGTCTCTATGGCCAGGGTGGATGTATTTACATTGCCAGACTTCAGCCACGGCTCAGATCAGCAAAGGCTTGGCTTAAATCACTGATTTTAATCTTGTTTTGCGTATTCACCTGTTGGTTCACCTCGAAGGAGAATTTGTCATTGACAGTGAAACATCTGCATTTACAGCTCAGTGTCAGCTTCATGTCAAACCTTGTGCTACGTTTTTTGTGCTACAGCTGTAAAGAACATCCATGTAGTTTAAAATCTATTTTTTTCAGACTTGTACTTTTCCATTTTACGCCAAAATGGCAAACCCCCGAAGTTATTCTAAAAAGAAACATCTTTTATTCTTTTTTTACCCTGTGTCTTGAACCAGGCAGTGTTGGGCTGGAATTGCAGCTGAATCACCCAAGACCAGCAGATTTTGCTCTTGTTGGTTAAACTGCTCATGCTGGACTCTTTAGGGACTGTCTCATCAAGTTGTGCCTTTGATAATAATTGCTTAATGGAGGTATTTTAGTTACCAAATGTAACTGTTTCTGAACAGAGCATGTTTTCAGTCCTCTGTAACTGGTAGCTCTCCCTTCAGAACTTGGTCGGTTGGTTGTTTGGAGGGGGAAAACACAGTTTCTGGTTCACGTTTTCCTGAAATTTAGTGCCGTGCACTGAGCCAGTGACTGTCACCAGTCTGTTCTTCAAAGCTTGTGCAGCAAACACGAGCTACCCAGTGGCTTTGAAACAAAATTTGAACAATTCCTAGGCAGAGTTTCTGAAAGTTAACACATCTGTCAACTTCAAAGAATTTTAAGTGTGAATTTTTAATCCACCCTGTCCATGGTTCACGGAGAGAGGGATCTCTGTTAGATGGCAGAGGAGAAGCCTGTGTTTGTGAACCCTCTGCATGAAACCAGGATCAGCAGGGATTTCCCCACTAACAATGTGTAGCTGATGGTTCTGTGCTGCCCTGCTGGGGTGGCAGCAGCCCCTGGGGCACTAAACCTTCTCAAAAGCCAAAGCACCCACGTTCAGCTCTTGCTTCCACTGCTGGCCCTTTATTCATTAAATCCTACTTCCATTTCCCTATAGCACAGGAGTGATGAACTGTCTGTCTCTGCTCTGGAGTTCTTGGACAATAAATGTTACACAAGTGTGGGGTGCAGAAGCCA